TTTTCCCAGTGAATTTTTCCTAAGACCGGGTTCCCTAACCTTTGGCAACTTTCAGACGGGTGGACTCAACCCCCAGGAATCCCCAGCCCGGCGGGGGAATTCTGGGAGTTGAAGTCCACCTGTCTGAAAGTTGCCAAGGTTGAGGAACCCTGCTCTAAGTAAACATCACTGGTGAACATACTATCAATTACAGCAGTTGTTACTTTTCTTCCATGCAACATACCTGCACAAATTAGAAAGACATGGGGAAAACTGAAAAATAAGTCACAACGCTGACATTTAAGAACTACAAAAATGGGGGAATAAACATACATTAGGAACTATTTTCCTGTGTGGATACTGAACAGTTTCCCAGGAATAATAATAATAATAAGCAACTAATATTTTTTTTCTTAATTGGTGGAATGCCTAGCTGGCTCCCATTATTTGTGCTTTTCTGTGAAAAGGTTTTGCTTTTTAATGAATTTCTTTCAGTCCTTTAGTGAAATATGAAGAAAGTGGAAGGAAATTTGCATAGTGATATAATCTCCAGCTTGGTGTACTGTTGAGTTTTTAGCACAAAACGTGTATCAGTTAGAAATTTCTGTTGGAATATTTTTTTATAACATTCCTCCCCAGTATGGCATGTTCCAGATGGCTTGGGCAACCATTTCCATCCTCCTGGAAAATTGTCCTAAAATTGTTCATTCCTGAAGGGCACTCAAGCCTTGAAAATTGCTGAGCGACTGAGGGGTTCTTATAATCCTAAATTCACCTTGAAGCAGCTTTCTCCAGAAAGGTTTCCTTTAGAAGAAAATAGTTTCATTTAGGATCTCTGGCAGTATTTACAATATGTAATTATGGCAATCTGAATAAATATTTTATCAGATGTGACGGGCAGCTTAAATGCTTATGATCAGTAATTTAGGTTTGAAAGAATGTAAAAGTAAATAGGAAGGAACTAGTAATGAACAGGAACCTGACACTTAAACTGGGCAATTTTGTTGCTTTCTCCTGAGGTTTAGTTCAGAGTAGCTACCGTGGCCAAAATAAATGTGCCCTGTAACATGGTTGAATCTAATGTGAAGTTGTACTTTCAGATATTTTCTTCTGCTGAAAATTCATACATTGGATGGCTCTTTTGAGGCACCGTCACTGTGTGGACCCAACTGTCCTTCCTTCTCTTTTTTTCTCATCTCCCCAGTTATCTTATAATAGTACTTCGTTTTTTTGTTTTGTTTTTATCTTGTTTATAAGCCCTTTGGCACTACCTGTGTAGATAGTGTCACATGTCTTTTACATTCAGTGGTTTGCAGATTTTAATACTTGTTGCATTTTATGTAATTTTTGGATAGAATAATTAGGACAACTATTCCAGCAGCACTTAAAGCTTTACACATTAGAAGTGGCAACTCTCTGATTTATGAAGTTATTCTGGACATAGATAATTTTTGTTATTTTCTAAAATATATTCCTTTCAATTCCTTTTGATCACTCCCTTATGTGCTTCAAGAGATAATAGGTGACCTTTAGTGATCCGCACTAAATATTTGAACTGATGGTCTTAATTGGTAGAATCAAAACAGGTTCAGTCCTTTAAATATGGAAAGATTCAAAATAGGATATATTAACCACTTTGAAGATCAGGAAACCAGTGCTAGTGGGACCTGTTTCTTGAATCATGTACAAGACAGGCATTTGTAAAATTGACACCCAGGAATTTGAAGCATTTCCCTCCCACATCGAATATTGCATCATTGTTGAAAGCAAGTCAAGTGTGCATTCTTCGTCAGCATATTGGCTGTTCCTTGCAGATCAGAAATGTGTCTGGATCCTGCCTCGGCTGGAGAAATTCAGAGTGCTGACAGTCATATAGTAAAAAGAGCAAGAATAGGGTGTCACCACCAACATTTGAAGCCCCAGAAGTATGGCAAGAGAAACTGGTTCGGTGTGGTTTGTGATCTCAGCAACAGAAGACACCGTCCTCAATGAATTGCTCTCCCCCAGATAGCTCTGTTTTGGCTGTTTTCAGTGTTTTATTCATAAGGCTTTCTCTGGCCATGCCAGACATAAGAACAAGGAGTTCTGTAAACATGTTTGACCTTGTTGAGGATTTGTACAATTACCCCTTTTCCAGCCCAAGCACAGGATTTCTGACATGGGGCTAAGATGCTGAGCGAACACAAGGCTCCCTCTGCTGTCTGACTTGATGTTTTGAGCCGAGGGTTCCCTTGCCCTTGGAAATGCTTTCAGGCCAGAAAGTGGAGATTTGCTGCTCTTGTTGCTGCCAATAGAAGTCATATCTCCTGTCTCTGGCTGACAGAACAGCTGGCAGACCAGGAGTGGGGGGGTGCATGACATCTCCCCAGTCTTTTTCGCTGTTCTCAATTAAGGCTATATTAATTTGTGAAATGGTATTATTTATATTTATTTATTTATATTTATTTATCATTAGACATATAACATGGAGAGCCAGTTTGGTCTAGTGGTGAGGGCACCAGGCTAGAAACCAGGAGGCTGTGAGTTCTAGTCCCGCCTCAGGCATGAAAGCCGGCTGGTGACTTTGGGCCTGTCCCTCTCAGCCCACAATATCGGGCTCGGGTGACAAGCTGGTTGGTCAATTCCTGTCACAACCAACAGATCAACATTTGGTTGATCTGAAGAAAACGGATTCTGCACCTGTGGGAAAACCCTTGGAAGGAAAAAAAAAATAGATGTATAACATTGATACAACCCTGCCGTGAAATGATCAATGCAACATTGATCATTTGAATATTATCATGGGTAGAAGTTTTTGATCTGTTTAGCTGTTCTTCCTGGCAGTAAATGTGAATCAACACATTTGCTCCATTCTGACATGCTGGAGTTGTATACACCAGAATTAGTTTGTGTTGTTACAGATTGTTACAGATTGTTGTTTATTTGTAAATATATACAAGTTTTCTATCTGCGTGTTTCCTCATGTCTTATTTGATTTCCTGTTTTGCTAACTGAAAAACAACTTTTTCAGAATCTGGTTTGCTAGCAGCCTAGGGGTTGGGTAAATCATAATTTGCTTAGGTGGAAGAGCAAACCATGCTCTGTCTTCAAAGATGAAGCGCAAACACAATTGAATTAAAGAGCAGCATGTCTGCATTGAGTATATTGGACTAAATAGTGGCTTGATATTAGGCCTTGATCCTTGTTATATGGAAATGAATTGGGCAACTGATCACAGAAGGTCTATTTGTAGCCAAGATGAAAAGCCAGCCTTGGCAGCATTTGAGTTCTTCTTGTGTGCTGATTCAGGAGCAGTCTGACAAGCTACACATGCAATAGTTAAAATAAATAATTTAGCAATACAAGGAACTAATCCTATATGTAGAGAAATATTGCTGTGTTTTTGCAAAAGAAAAACTTGTATGTTTAATTCTAAAAAATGACTTGTTTTCCACAATAAATGAACAAATTGTGTGTGTGTGTGTGTGAGAGAGAGAGAAAGAGATGTCAGCAATCCTCTAAGAAATGTAATTTCTTGAAAATATCTGCTATGTCTTGCAGGTGAAAGTGGAGGCATTCCAAGCATAATTAATCATTCAGCAGCACCAGATGGAATGGTCACTATGCAGAGTCCAAAAAAATCAGGGAAGATTCCTCCAAAATTCCAGAACTGTATGGTCCACAGAGTTTGGAAGGAGTGCATTCTCAACAGGACACAGTCCAAGTAGGAAAATTGTGTTTTCCTGGATTCTTTTCCACAAGCATCCCATTTTAATAGCCTATCTCTCTCTGGACATATGTGTGTGTGAATAAATTGGTGAATACTTCCTATGTCAAAACTGAATAGTTTGGGGAACTGTGTTGAAGAATTGCTGGTCCTAATCATTATGAGTTCATTGCGATCCCTACAGAAACCCATTTGGAAGAAGAGTAGGGATATATTTTTTGTCTTACTCTGAGTTGCAGCATCTTGAGCTATTTAGAAGGAATTCTGAGTCATACATAGAATGAAGAAAGGCAATTGTTACTCATCTTCTCAGATCACCGGTCAAGTTTGCTCAGCTCGGATGGGTAGTAGTTCTCCCAAACATTCAAGCCAGAGTCCTTCCTGCCATGGTCTAAAGATGGCAGAGATGGAACCTGTGACCTTGCACATACTTTTGTGGAAGTCAGAACATTGCTTGCTTTTAATTTATTTGAATGTCATCATTTATTAATGCTAAGTAACTTCCTGCTGTGAAGTTTCCAGCACCCTTCTGGCCTAGATGTGATTTGATCAATTCCCTTGATCTTGTGGGAGCTTCCAGGGAGGGAAGCTGTTCTCCAAGATAGGCAAAACCTGTTTTACCTAAGGAACTCTGATCCATTTACCTAAGGTCTACAAGTGTGGGCATGTCCATGGCGACCCTGTGAGCTATTTTACTGAAGCATGTTCAGAACCTCTTTGATATAAATGATTTTAAGAACTTTTTGTTGAAATGCATTGCATAAACCTTTAAATACATGCATTTCTGCCTGACACTCAGAATCTTGGACACAGCTTTGTGTCACCCAAATGGTGGTTCTTCTTTTATCATAGCCGGGATTTGGAATTCATTGCACTAAGAGTCCCAGGTGGTTCTTCCTTGTGGCATTTACATATACTTTGTAATTTTGCTAAGTCTTGCTCTGCTGTTCATTGATGATTTGTGTTTCGGTTATATATCAGCCACACAGACACACACACAAATATATACATACATATGAAGTATGTTTGTTGATATTGCTAGTGGTAACTCGAAGATTGGAGTGGAAAGTATGAGCTGTAAATCTCATTTAGTAATAAATATACAGGTATGCGAAAAAGCCTGGTAGCTGCTGCACATAAAAATAAATCGGGTGCCAACTGTACTACAGAGTGCAGGAAGCAAAATTCTCTTCTAGCTAGGCTCGTAGAAAATATATTTTGCAAAAAGGTTGCATCCCGTTCATATAATATCTGATTGAAGAAAAAAAAAATCAAAGCTGATTAAAAATAGCTTTACTTAGGCTGGGAAGCAGTGGTCATTCATTCATTCCCATGCTGAAATACAGTGGTACCTCGGGTTATGAACGCCTCTGTTAACGAACTTTTCGGGTTACGACCA